ATAACAATGAAGCTGAAAAAATGTAGTTGTTCACCAGCATCGCAATTCCATTACTTTTTATCATGGCTTGGTGTGGTTTGCAGAGTGCTTCAGAAAGATGAGGAAATCTGTTTCTTGCACCCATCCTGATTTATTTCCACTACCAGTACTTCCTACTGGTCCATCTCTGACACAGTGGTCTGCATAATGTATGTGTGGGAACACAAACAGTGGAGGAATTGTGTTGCCAATGGCATTAACCGCATATACAAAAGTGACCAGTGAACCTCTCTCTGCTGATGTCGTTGCCCCAACTTGTTTAATATGAGTTAAAGTAATAGTGTGGTAAGTTGTAACATACATTATTGTTACAACTAACCCAGACTGTTGCTGTTACAACTAACCCAGACTGTTGCTGTTACAACTGACCCAGACTCCTATAGCCATGAACTAGCTAACATTACAGCCAACGGCTAAAACATTAGCACTAAAGACCTACACAGAATATATCCCCATAGACATACAAATAACATAATTTAAGTTTGAGTTTAACTGCAAAGCAGATAATGCTATTACAAATTGAAATAAAGTAGAAAAACGTACTTTTTGGCATACAAATGACTTTTTTTCATGTTAAATTGTCTGTGTTTGACAAAATGTGCTGATTTTTCACATGTGATAGCAGAACTGAATTGGGCATGCACAGGATGAGTCACATCATTTGAAACTTAGCCCTGATTGGAGAAACTGGAAGTGTTACAACTGACCCACGTTACAACTATCCCCGGTCTCCCCTACTGAGTGATTGATGCTGCTAGCAACTAGCTGCAGAACAAAACGGGGCATCTTGTAGCTGACGAGCCAGTGCGCGATTTCACTCCAGAGGTGGTGAACAAAAATGGAGCATAAAGGATGTTTTGACTTGTGTCCGTCAAGTGAATTTTGTTCTATAACTTCAGGATTTATTAAGAGTTACTTGTCACATGTTAAAGTTGCATATACCAACATTAGATGTCATTTTCTTTGCTCTCTCTAATTTTCCAATAGAGTTTGAGTTTGCTTTGAAAGTGCACAGAGTTCATCCGTCCATGTTTGATTAAATTGAAGGTCTGTCTTTTATTAAAGATTTGCCTTCAACAACAATTGAACAGTAAACAGTAGAATTTAATAGTTCGTTTCACTAAATTTGTGGATGATGAGCTTGATGACTCAGTTGCAGCACACATGAGATTGTCAAGTCTTTAAAAAAAAATCATGCTGATGTCCTAATGATGTCATGGTGAAGTCATGGAGATATTGAATATGAAAGAAACCAGGCTTCCAGGAAACACAAACAGGAGGCTATACTATGATTTGTGGCCATATATATATATATATATATATATATATATATATATAGATAGATAGATATATATAGATATATATAGATATATATAGATATCCTTTGAAATGGCTCTTAATCTCTTAATCTAATCAGAATCCATTGTTTCCATAATGATGGAAATCTGGCCGGTCGTTTCAGTCGCACGTACACTCTACCAGCTTGACTTGGAGAGATGCTGTGCTCTATGGGCCCAAAATTACGGAAGCGTGAGGAACACGGAGGAAGCTTGGAATTTATTTTTTGATATATGCACCACTGAGCAACTCGTGTTCAAATAACTGAGGCACCATCTTGTCATCAATGCAACATGCACCTGAACCCGTGGATGTGGATTTGGAAAGGTGGAATCTATTCAAATATGCTTGCACTACGTGGTGCCGGTTTAAGTGTTTTGTTTTGCTTTATTTTATTTTTTTTAAACAAGAGTTACTCATTAAAAGTGCCTCAGCAGTAGAGCTTGGCCTTTTACTGCTTTGACCTTTACTTTATGATTTATATTTCCACCTCAGTTGAAATGCAGCACTGAGCTCCTGGCACCTCTTTTAAGAAGTCTGGTCTCTCTCAAGTACATGTATACATAGTGCTTTTTAAAAATAAAATAAAATGCAGTTATCACTCAAGAGGAAGTGAGCACAGAGTGATGTAACTGTATTACATGATCAGGGATTAGAAATCCTTTATGTGCTTGCAAACAAGGTTCAACACCAGGACATCGCTGGGCTGCAGATCCTCCCTTTATCAAATATTGTTCCAATGTCTCAGTTTCAATATAATATATATTATCCTGTGTATAATATAACAATATAATATATGTAAACAAAGTGTGTTTTCGCATCAGTACTCAGTAAAGGTGCCATATCTTATTTTAATGGCTCTGCTAGCATTCATCCACATCCGCATTAGTGTTTTGAGCTGTCCTGGTTTGTGACCCTGGCGCTGCGAGTGCTCGGATCGCGCTTTAGATGTTTACTTCAGGTTTGTGCCATAGCAGCGACTTCAGCCCATGAAAAAAACACAACAACCATAAATCTGCTTATAGCTAAAAGTGAGGATTTATCCTGAAGCCTCCTGATTTAAGTGTAATGTAGCAGCAGCATGTGTGTCATTAGGTTAGGTCCTGTCTGTTCCTCTCCAATGATAATGTAGGATTTCCATGCAGTCTAGATTATGTGCTAAGAATAATGCCTCAGAAAGAGCAGCACAATAACCAGTGGCACAGTGACCATTTCATTTTCTCTCTTTCTTTCTGCCTTTTTTTGTGGTTGGGGGAACTTGAGCGGCAGACCATCTGCTCCTCAGAACCGAACTAAAAGCGGCAGTCTTTTGAATTATTCATTTTTTAAAACGAAGCACATTGTTAGAGACATTTGGTCAGGGTCTAAAAGCTTACCTTGGGTCCTGAAGAAGTGTGACTTTCTCTCACAACCGAGCGAAGATAGTAATGGATCCCCCAGAGAGAAGGGGATATGGGAGTTATCTACGTATGTCAGTCTGCGTAGCTTCTTCCTTTAACTTTAGTCTTTTTCCTTCAAATGCAAAGACCTTGTCTTATACTCAGCGTTCAGCCAGCTATCATCTCTACCACTATCCTGCCTGACACAGAGATTGGCTATTACCATATCATATGGCTGATTGAATCCTCTGTGCTGCCGGTGGCTTTGCTGGTGGCTTTCTCTGCAGCGTATGTACACTGTGTCCTGCTGTTTAGAGAATATAGAAAGAGCAGATAGATGTCAAATTGATTTATTTATCTGAAACGCACAGGTTGTTGTTGTTGTGGGAAAATGTAGCATCTTACTTTGAACTTCAAACAGAGATTACTGATGATTTTCCCCTTCACCACACAAATTTATCAAGCATCTCCGAAAGAAGCTTTTTCTCTCCTTTCAAAAAGGTTTCGCTTTTGTCTGTCCTCTCACAAAGAAACTGTTTCCATGAATGACAGCAGGTCATCCCGATAGATAACATCTCGCCTTCATCTCGGCTTCACAGGGTCTCGGCCGCGTTTTGAAGACAGCCTGCCGCGGATTGCGGAGGACCCCTCGGATTTGATTGTCTCCAAGGGGGAGCCTGCCACCCTCAACTGCAAGGCAGAGGGCCGCCCCATCCCCAGCATTGAATGGTACAAAGATGGTGAACGTGTGGAGACAGACAAAGATGACCCGCGTTCTCACCGCATGCTCCTGCCCAGCGGCTCCCTTTTCTTCTTGCGCATCGTGCACGGCCGACGGAGCAAACCAGACGAGGGCGTTTACACCTGTGTGGCCCGCAACTACCTGGGAGAGGCCATTAGTCGCAACGCTTCACTGGAAGTTGCCGGTAAGGCCTTGTGTTATTGATCATCGTGCTAACAGTGTTTGTGGTTCCTTTTGCATTATATCTTGATATGTATGTTATGTGTACACAGATGCCTCACAGTTGTGTCCCAGATCTTTTTGCAGCTGCCTGCCAGCTTTGTGGAGGTTCACTGGAGAAGTGGTGCTTAAAAATAATGACATGAAATACACAGACAGTAGGAAGCGACTTCTAAAAATATTGAGGTGTAGCTAAAATCAGTGATAAGTAATGGCCTGTGGATTCGTCCTTATTTTTTGGCTACTTTGGCAACAGTGATGCAATTTGTCTTCAAGTCTGTGTGTGTTAGTTGTCTAATAGCACTTTTAGAAGAGGCAGGCATGCAATCATTTTGTGCCACATTAGGCAGCTTAGCCACTATACATAAATATTAAGATATAACAATACACAACACATGAAAATAATTTCAGTTTTTGGAAGTGAAACTGTGGTATATAATGTAATGGGTGCAGCTGAGTGTGGATGCTGACCATAGTTAGTGGAGTTTGTGACATTTCATCTTTAATCAAACATCTGGATTTATTGAATGACGCATCTGTGGCTCCATTCTGCACTATTGTGTCGACCACAATCTCCACAGATGCAAAACTGTTTATTACACATTTGCTAAAAAGAAGGCAAACTCAGTCACCCATTGCGGCTGATGAAGCTTCAGTCCCCCAACTCCGTACTCATCTGCAGAACAACACCCATCTTTGACAGCTCGTTCTGTGGCTGCAGCTTGCACTGTTTCTGCATAACTGCATAAAATGTGTTTTATTAGTGCTGTTATCAGTGAAAAATGTGCCTTCAAAAAATATTAGCAAATGTTATATTTGATAGTAGCAGTAGTATGGTTTTTCTTTATTGTATTTTTCATTTCATGATGTGTAAAATGTTTTCTGCCTGGGCTGCGGGCAGGTAAATTCATCTTTAAGAAGCCACGCTGTTGTGATGTGAATTTCAGCATTGTCCTTAAAAGTTTTTGAAAAGATTTCCCTGGAAAAGATGTTGTCTTGATGAGTGCATCTGTTGTTCTAAAAGCTGTATCATTCCATCGCAAATCAGCAAACTTTTAGAATTTTCTCCAAGTTGCGCAAAAAATTCTATTCTCCAAAGATTAAACATTTATAATGAGCACTGTGAATTTCCAGCTCCACACCTCAAACACTCTTTAAGACATATTCTTTTGAAAAATGCTCAGTTGACCCACACCACAAGGCAAACATCTAAACATTTATAAGAGCCTGCACATTTCTGCAACAAATCTTTGGACACCTGAAGCCAAGATAAACTTGTACCTGAATGATGGGAAGAGAAAAGCATGAAGGAGGCAAACGGCTCATTATGCGAAGCATATCGCATCATCTGTCAAACATGATGGGGGAGACGTGACTGCATGGGTATGTATGGCTCCCAGTGGAACCGAGTCACCGGTGTTTATGGATGCTGTGACTGCTGATAGAAGCAGCAGGATGAATTCTGTAGTGTACAGGGATATACTCTCTGCTCAGATTCAGCCAAATGACCTTCATCCGAGATTAAGAATAACTATTATATTTTACATTTTTTTGAGTTTCTTCAGTTACTTTTGAGTCTCTGAAAAAAAAGAAGATTTTTTTTAATCACTTGAATCAAAGTTGAAAGTTTGCGCTTCAATCAGATCTTGATTGCTTAATTTAGAACAGTGTAGTTGTGTACGGAGGCCAACATTACAAAAAAGTGCAATTATCTGCTCACTTACGGAGATGAATGTAACTGTTCAGGAGATGCACGGTTATATGTTTGCCATGCTTCTTATACTCTGACACTATTGTGTCTACAGATCACTGTGAATGAGACTTTTGTCTGAGAGCCGAAGCGCCCAGAACCATCAAGGAGGTCATCACGTTTCTCACTCCTTTTTTTTTTTTTTGTGAGACCTCACCATTTAGAGGAATTAATCCAAAAAATACATTACAATACGTATGATTATGTGTACAAACTAGAGATGGACCGATCCGATATTACGTATCGGTATCGGTCCGATACTGACCTAAATTACTGGATCGGATATCGGAGAAAAATAAAAAATGTAATCCGATCCATTAAATATCACGAAAGCACCTCACAAAACC